TATATATATGTATATATATAAATATATATATAATATATAGATTTATGTACGATATATATATATATATATTATAAACTGAAACTGAAATCCTCGCAAAGGAACAAGCTAGGTGTCAAGATCTACAACAGGCTTCCCAATGAGCGGAAGTGTAAAAGCAGGAATGGTTTCAATGCTGCCGTTAGAAAACATCTTATAGATCAGCCTATCTATTCAATTAATGATTTTTTTAATCCAAGTTAATTATTATTGTCATTAGGTTAATCCTACAGTTGTTCATAAATATAAATTATATTATTTTAGTTATATTATAATATTGTGATAAAAATAATAATGGTGATTGAATTAAATAGTAAATATTGCAATTGAAAAAGTATATATATATATATATATATATATATATATATAATTTTCAGATTCACTTACATTATTCTTTCGTCTTCTGTAGTTCTAAAAATCACTGATTTGGTACAATGAAATGTTAAGAATCGATCTTTGAATTCTAAGATCATATTTGTTCACTAGTTAATATTTATATTAATATTAATTAGCAAAATTATACATATTTACTATACATTATTTCAAGCTTTGTCTTTTATATTTTCGAGTACTGATTACTTAGAACTGTCACATGCCTAGACATATAAATTGACACTTGATAAATATTAGTATTATGAAGTTGGCAATAAACTGAAATTATTATTTCTGGCGCCTATTACAATTTATTAAAGTTTTTATTAAATATCTTTTTAAACTAATTTAAAATATTATTGTTATTACAAAATTATAATGCTGTAAGATTATTTTCATAATACCTTCTAACAAGCTCTCATTTTGGTGATATTTTTTTGGGATAGTTATGGCAATACTGAAAATTAGGTAATACTTGCCTTATGAATCAGAGTCAAAATGATATTTGCGATTTATCATCAGTAGGTTCGTCGATTTTAATAACATTACGCTCGCTCTTTAGCAAATTTGTACATAGTTTAAATAAAAGTTTCAATGCCTCAATAAAAGCTATCAATTGCATTTTATACATTTTAGTGCGTGTGAAAAGTGTAAACAACAGATAGTGTTTCTTTTGTGATAAAATATTGCCCTACGTGTGTCATTTTGTAAACATTATTACTTTCGATTTACCTTCACAAACTATTTATGGATGTGTTTCAGAAGTTTAAATGAATTGATATTGTATCATCGTGTTGGATTGCATTCGATGAAATTTCATACCCCACCTAAGCTACGAAATATTTGACAAAATGAAAGAATAGTCGTCCAACACAACAAAAAATAACGCAAACAAAATTAGTCTTCCGAAGTTTTAAGTTTTAACAATAAGAAATTTATTGTTTTATACTTGCAATATCCTAAAATTTCTTCAAATTTTGGAAAATGTCAATATAATGATATGTGGTGATATAATTTACATGAAATAATGTAAATAAGTATATGTAGGAGACATTTTGAGGAAATGCTGGGATATCTTTTATGACTGATAACGTTAATTTATTTTAAGAACGAATTCTATTGGGCATTAAATTGTTAGAAATGGCTGGAAGAACTCCAAGATTGAAAATAATTATAGAAATTGACTGGCACACTTTTTGAGCTTCTTGTGTCGCAACAGGATACAGTCCTTTCAATTAAATGGAGAATATACAGAATAGAAGGTATGCATTTTCAATCATTTAACTAATATATCAATCAATTTCATTAATTAAATATAATTACATTCTGTAGGTATCCCAGTCTCTCAACAACACTTGTTGTATAGATTGCAAGAGCTTGATGATTCGACAACATTGTCCACGGCCAAAATAACTGAAGGCTGTACATTAAAATTAGTAGTTTCTATGAGAGGTGGTCCAATCGCTACAAGAAGAACGTTGAAGAGTCCCAAAACTGATGAGTCTTGGATAGACTGTAAAGATTTGTTTGACAGGTATGGTTTCTTAATCATAAATTCTTACCTTAGAAGTAAACTATTGTAACTGTGATTTATGTAGTTTTTTTGGAAGAGTATACATATTCATATATTACTTAAAATCGTTTTTCATCTTCTATTTGTGTTTCTATTGTAACTCTTTCATTAGTAAATATTTACATTTCGAAAATAAAATAAAATTTTCTCAATAATAATGGAGAATTATGCTTTTACATTTTGTTTATGTTTAATGTTATAAATGAAAAACTGTTATTCTGAAAAATTCTATTGTGAAATTAACATAATATCAGTTATGATAATTTATCTCTGATAGTGCACACAATATTCATTGCTTGAACATATTTTTAAAAAATAATTTTAGCGATGAAATTAGAAAAAGTGGAAAATATCGTTTAGAATTACATCATGATGGTTCAAGTATGAGCATATTTCGTATTGCTAGGTCATATGACACGGACTCTTCAAATCCAAGTGATGATTCACCAGAGGGTGCCTATGACAATGATTGGGGTTTGGATAAAATGCAAGAAAATATTTGCACTTTCACTAAGATGAGAGATTTGCGTAAGAAAATGGAAGCATTGCAATTAAAAAGAAACAAAAATAGTACTGTTGAAAAATCATCCACAACTGTTAAATTAAAGCGACATAAGTTACCATATGGTTCCAAAACAAGTACTGAAATTATTAGTGAGGAATTGGAACTCCTAGGCCTTGTTTCTAAAGGTGGAAGTAAGCCTATCAGAAGAGTTCGGAATAGTGTAGCACAAGCTACTTACATTATAGGTGTTAGTTCAAACAAGTCCTCAGATATGCCTTCAGCAAGAAGACTTCGTGAAGATTCTGATTCCTCTGATGAAAGTCGTGTAACTCAGGTGAATATTCTTTTTTCAATGCTCTATCTAAAATTAAAAATTGTGTTTTTAAAAAGTTTGATTATGTAATAATCTATGTATGTCAATAACGTTTTTAGATCAGTCGAAGACATAAAGCTGAAAGAGTACCAACACCGGAGGGTCTTGTTACAGGTGCCGGTCCTGTTTGCTACCAAAATGAGGGCGAACTTAGTTTAGAATTAACATTGTCAGATGATCATGAAGAGCCTTTGAAACTACTTCCAACTCCATGCCCTGTGCCTTCAACATCAACAGGAGGTAATAATCATTAATAATAAAATTTATTAATTTGTTATTGACTTTCAAACATTAATGAATAAATACAATTTCAAATGTTATCATTAATATCTGATCTATATTAATTAATCCTAAAAAAAATAAAGTTATATATCGAGATTACAGCACTTTGTGTGATATATTTTATTAAATTTATGTGTCATCAGAAATGATTATGATATTAAGTGCAATTGTTTTTTTTCCTTTCATCAAAAAATAAATGTGTGCAAATAATATATTTTACAAATACCTTTTTCTCGCTTTAAAATAATATTATTTTTTCAATATGAAATTTAGTGTATATTATTTAATATTATTGAAAGAGTGTTAGTTTAAATTTAAATTTGAAAATAAAATGATAAACATACATCTGAATATACGTATTTTGTTGCAGATAGCAGTCGTTATCGCCTGTCCTGTTTATTGTATCCTCCAGGAGATTCTCCTAGACCTCAAGTAACTCCTGAAGACCTGTCAGCGGGATGATACTTTAGACACTTTTAGTATGCAATTGGAAAGCCCTAAGTTGCACATGGAAGCTCCTGTGTCAACTAAAATCAACTTATCAGACTCCATAGAATGTTTGGAAATAGGGAATCACAAAGGATACCCTAATCTTAAAAGCATTTCGCAATATATTCAACAAAATTCTAATTCAAGCTGTGAATTAAGATCAAATATCCAGGCATCTTCACATGCAAGGTATGAGCCCCCGCCACTTCAGAGATCAAATAGAACTTATTTCCAAAGCAATCCAGCACTGCATCAATTGAACAATAACATTCATAACACACAATGTTCATCCACATCTAACCTTGATAAAACAAAGGATGTTTATTTTAATGATGATTTTCAACATTCTTGTAGTACATCAAATTTAGAAAAGTTGAACTCCAAGAAATTTGAAACACCACAGTTGACGACATAGCAATACTGAATATTTGGACTATACTGGTAGTTATGAAAACTTGGATAGAGTTCGCATACCAAAACGAAAAGTGAATATGTCTAAGAACAGGGGACTTAATAGATCTAGTGAGTGTTTGTCAAAATTAATGAACATTCTCACATGCACTCGCCATTAAATTCTCAAAGCAGATTTAGTAGAATGTGAAATACTGATCGAGTTAGAAGTTTTGAAGGTCTAAATTGCCTATCTTGTGAGGCTCAGCCTTTGCTGAATAAAGATGAACATAAAATTATAAAAATGCCAAATACTTCAATATTTAGAGAAGAAATTGCACATCAAAAACAGTGTTGTTTAAAACATACCAAAAATAAAACTATGGCACCTACTCCCCTGCCAATAATTCATTCTACACCACAGTCTAAATCTTTACCAAAATTGTCTTGGACTCCCGGCGGTTCTTTAAAAAGAACACAAAATAGTACACTTGTAATTTTTCAAGCGCCAACCTTAAAAAATACTGAATCTAACTCTTCAAATCATTCTGTAAATCCATCAAAAAGCAAAGAGAGAACCTCAGAGAAATCACAACCTGAAGATTCTGCAGAGACGCCAGCAGGAGAACCTGTTGCAAAGAAAAAACGAATGAGATGCAAGGTATGCAAATAGTTTAAAATACGGTTTACCAATTGTTATTTTAACTGTAATAATTAAATTGTTGTTCAAGATTATATATATATATATATATATATATATATATATATATTATAGAAAATAATAATTTGTTTTACCTTGTAGGTTTGTGGTAAACGGCTCACAATAACAACAGCCATGGTATGCAGATGCGGTGGGACATTTTGTGCACAACACCGCTATGCAGAGACGCATAGTTGTACCTATGACTATAAAGAAGAAGGTCGCAAACAAATTGAGCAAGATAATCCAGTTGTAACTGCACCTAAGCTTCCTAAAATATAACGTATCATTAATTATATGTTATATTTTGATGTTTTTTCTTTGTGATAACAACTGGGCCATAGAAAAATAAATTATATATCTAGTTCGCACAAACAACCAAAACTAATGATGAAAAATGTATTAACTAAATTTCTCAAAATAAAACTATCAGTTTGTTTTCATATAGAAATTATAAAATGGTTTTAACAGAAGTTTGCATAGATTTATAATAAATAAATTAGTTATGAATTATTAAGAATTAAATATGAATTAATAAATAAAATATTCAGTTATGTAAGAAATTAACATGAGTTCATTATTGTTTTGTGATTTATAATTCTTATTTAGTTATTAAAAAAATTTAAAGCTTTAGTATTATAGTTGTTGATATTGTTTAAATTTTTAAGAATTCCATATAAATCTTATGTTTTGTTCAGAAAGAATTTATGTTTTTCAAACAGAGAGGTGTTATTGTTTATCCTTTGTAGCAGATACAAAGACCGTGTTGTGAGGCATAATTCTAAACATTTATGTGTGCACTAAATCACCATAAACTAATTATATTATACCAAAACAAGTCATAGATAAAAACTGTATTTTTTTAAAATTACATAATGCCTATAAAGAAAATGTTTACTAGCTAATATAATTTATAAAACATAGCATTATTATTAAGGAACTGTTATATTATCTAAATAATAATAAATATAAAAATATTAGTGAATATATCAAATATAAATAACGCCAGATTGATGAAATGACTTTGATCATGTGACTATCAATGATATGAAGCAAAATTAATTTGAAATTTTATTGTATTAGCCACAAAATACTAATTTTGCTAATAAAATATTTTAAATAAATACTGTTTTGACTTATTATTAAATATCATGTTAAATATAGTTTAAATATATATATGGAGGTTTCTTCAAAAAGCAGTGTGTGATGACAATAACAAGTTTTATATGATTAGATTATAGAATATAATTAATAATTAAGTAAGAATTTCTCTTCACGTTAACAGATATTCCCTGTATAATTTTTTTATAATTGTAATTTTCAAATCTTAATATTAATTCCATATTAAATTAGGTCAGTTATCATAAATTACAAATGTATCAAAATGAAAATATTTTAATTCATAAACATACTAATTCTGCACAATTCTACTTTTTATGTATCCGTATATAAACAGTTTATAAAAGATAAAAATTCTGAATTTTCAATGGCAATATCAATTACAATATGTACGTACTGCACCTGCTTTTAGAAAAAGTCATAACTTTTTCGTAATAATAATAATATCACTTATAATGACTATCAGCAATTAAGTGAAAATGCCAGAATTGCAATAAAAAATGCAGCTTAATGAACATGGTATATGTGTCTCAATTAAGACTTAATTTAAATATAAAGGTTATACAACATTTATATACATGCAAATAGGAATAGTTTTAAAAACTATTTACTTGTTTATGTTTAGGAGTAAATATAATTTGTATTGTTAGATATCGAATTTCAGAAAACATTCATAATTACCAAACCATTTTTTATGGTATCGGCTCCAATAAGAAGTGCATTTAGAGTTTGATAAAATGAACTTTCTAAATCATTCGAATGTATTGCATGATGAAATTGGTATTTTAAGCGCTGCATGTACTTATATGCAGCACTTAAGATACATATACGTGTTCATAAATATCATTAGTATTAAACCTATACGCAATATATTGCGTATTAATATATAAATGACTATCAATTATGTAACACATCATCATACATACGTGAACAAATAGTTTCCTGTTCATTCAGTCCATTCTGTTTCCACAAGCAGTGCTTCAAACAATTTTACAAGATTTTCAACTCCGGCCAAATAGTTTTTATCCGGCCCGAATTCATTAGTTGCCGGAAACACGTGAGCAAAATCTATCATTTTCACAACTGCCCAATTATCACCAGGCGTTCCCGACGCTGGTGCATCTTCAGTTGCTATCAAATCATCAAGCATGCTTTCGTAATTTCGTCTTATATTTTTCATGTCGTTGTCATAGTTATGTCTGAACGAATGTGTTCGTTGAAGACCACGGTATTTTGTAGGAGAACCGGCTATTGCTGTGGCTGGATTTGATGCTGCACTAAATAAGATTTCCGGAGATGAAGGTCTTCTACCTGGTCTAAATAGGGGGGCTCCTGTGGGACTTAATTGACCGCTAAGAGCGCACGATGAGCCGTTCATCGATAATGTATCTAAAGGTTTCGTATGCAGGCGCAAACTACCAGAACGTCCTAGACGCACCCTGTAGGTAAAAATGAACTTCGGGTTGATATTCATTAACAATATAGTATATTGTAAAAATATTCCAATTTATAAGTATTCATTTAAAATAAATTTTAATATTTTTATATTTGACCGACCTGTTTACTGGTTTTGGTACTGGTGGGCGCGCTTCCAACTCTTCACGAAGGCGTTTTGCATCGTAAGCCAACAGCAGGCTGCTGCTATAAAGACGGAGGTCAGTCTGAGATCGCGCCCATCGTAAAACTCGCCACAGTCCAGCCAGCAATTGAACCAGGAGAGCCCGGCATAGTTGAGTATCGTCTGGTGCATTTAAAAATGTGCGTAATGCTGAAAACAATCAAATATAAAAGTTATTTACAAGAACTTTGTCTCATGAAGCTCAATGTTAATCATAAATATATCAAATGATTGCTTGTTCTTAGACATTTTTCAGTAATAAAGTTTTTCTAATTTGAAAATGAGACCATCTATATATAGATGGTTTTTCATCCGTAGTATATATACTAAGGATGAATATTTTTGTATTCAGTGGATATTCAATTCAGATTGTACATTGCGACCTATATGTATATTAATATATTATAAAAATTATTAATAAAAATTCTTTGAGAAAATCTTATCTTGAACATATGATTAATTGTATTCTCACAAATATTGTCACAGATCCATGGATTACATTACATAATACAAATATAATTGATATTTTCTTCTTCAGTAGCAAATTTGATTTTTGATTTTAAAGAATAAATTTCTATTTACATTTTCCTATCATGAATTTATTACCTTCTTTAACAGATTCTGGGCTCAACTTTTTACCATAGTCTTTACCAAATCTTCGTACCCGTCCGGTTTTAATAGAATGAACTTGGAATCCAGGAATGCAAAAACTAAGGGCATTTTTGCAGGCAGTGTATTTAGACTGAAAATAAGTAAAAAGGAATTAGTATTTAAAAACTAGAACATATATAATTTCCTGAACCCGTAGCATGAATCTTTTTAGCACGTGCTAATTGATTCAATACGCTTTCAAACAAAACATTAAGCAAATTCTGTACGACAATATTTTTTTGTCAAACCAAACTAATTGAAACAATTTAGCACATTTTTATAAATGTCGTGCATTGTTTTACACAGAACAGAAATTAAATCGATACTGCTAAAATGATATCCAAATAAACTCTTTTTATTTGCAAACTGATAATGATTTCTGCAAATAAAACTCTAAAATTATCAACTCGCTTGTTGCTATTCGAATAATGAACGCAGTTAACGTAATTGAAAACAATACATGTGTATTGATTGATCCACGTGCTACCAGAAATAAAAATAATAGAGGCTAAACGATTTAAATAAAATAAATAGAACATGATTGATGATTATGATGTAATAAAATTCATACAAACTATAATATTATTTTGAATATAAAAATATTTAAATTGTAAAGTTATAAGTGTCTTGCAACTGTTACTAAAGCATTTAGTAATATATATTTTTGAAAAAATACAATAGAAAATGAATGATAGTGTTTTCAAAGTAAAAATTAAAAATGTGAAATCAAAATACATAATAATTAAAAACAATAATAATAAAAATAATAATAGTAATAATAATAATTATTATTAACATAGATAAGTGAGATAATTAAAAAAAAAATAATAATAAAATCTAATAATAGTTATTTTAATTATTATCAAATTATAATAATAATAAAAATAAAAGTATACTTTTATTAAGAATAATTATAAAGATAATAGAGATAATTATTATAATAATTATAAAGAAGTATTGTGAATTAATAATAAAAAAAAAACTTTATTTTTAATCAAATTATTTAAAAATGTCAGAAGCTTAATTGATAAAAATATCATTTATGCAAACAGTCTTAAATAAAATTCATAATTGAAGCTTATGCATTTTACAAAAAATGGTAGAGATATTAAAAAGAGTAATAAATAGTTTATTTAATAAAACGTTATAAAAATAAATAATATTTTGAAAAATATAGAACATTTTCTGGTGATTTTCATGAGAATTAGTTATTGTAATGCATAAGGGGGCGTCCATTAATCACGTGAGGTTCCTAGGGGGGGTTGGGGGGTTATAGTAAAATATCGCGTGTATTTATTTGTAAACTGTTTTTTTTTAAATTCAAACATTTTCAAAAAAAAATAACTAGTGGGGCGCATGGCACCATGCCTTAAGGCAAATTGCTGGAACTTCCCGTACCAAAAATTATTATTTTTTTAAAAGCAATTAACATTTTTGAAAAAAATTTACTTCGAAAAAATTAGAATTTTGAGAAACTATAAATTCGACAAAAAATTACTTTTTTAAAAAAAAAAAAATTGTTTGAAAAAAAAGTTTTCTTTATTTTGGCATAGTTTGAAAATTTTGAACTTTTTTTCAAAGCAATGGTACTGCTTTAACTGCATAGAGACAAAATGTCAAAGCGCGTAGGCTCCTCGTCGCCGTCTAACGGATAAACATTGGTACGGAACCCATAGGAATGTAAACAAAGTTCATACTTATTGTTAAAATCTCTATAAAATACCTGATAATTTTATGTGCATATGTCTAATGATCATTTTTGACCGCCAAATGGCGATGTGATGTTTGGAGGGGGAGGGGGGTAATTTTGAATATCACCAAGGGGGAGGGAGGACCAAAAATCCTTAAAAATTCGCTCACGTGATCAATGGACGCTCCCTAAGAGATAGTAGAATAATCTCATTCATTGATGGCAAGTTTGTAAAAAACAACCCTAAGCAGATGAAAACTGTTGAAATTATTATTCCAATAATACTCGATACATATTGCGCTGCTAATCAATTAGCAAGAATTAAAAACAAAAAACA